TATAGGTCTTTTATATATGAAGAGAAAAATATGTAACTTAAATGTGAAAGATTGCCCGGTTATAAATATTTTATGTAAAAAGTCTACTTTAAAGAAAATTGTAACAAATGGCAAGCAGTAAATGCACTGTCAATATTTAATCAAAACTTCTTTTATGTGCTTTTCTCAGTAAATTAAGCAAGAACTTTTTATGACCTATTAAGATGAACTATTAAGATTCACAATTGAAACGTTTGATATTTTCGAAACACGCGCTTCTATATATAAAAGCATTAGTTGTGTTTTACTGACTCCATTCTTATTTGTTTGATTTGTTTGTCAAATTCATTCCTATTATAATCTACAGGTGGTTGCGCAATATTTAGGATGGACACATAAGTTTGAGTTTATCCCAGGGGTTCCAATACACTGGCCAGGTTCTGGTGGCCCTCCATCTAACATCCCAGCCTGTGGATTTAACGGAGAGCTCTGTGTTGTTTACAGTATGTAATGTATCTTTAGCTTCTAATTATTATTTCATAAGTATAATTTGTAATTAGAAGTTGCGAGTCGTCATTGACGGTACTGGTTAATTTTGAAATATCAGTATAACTTTTATCTTATAACGCAGTGAACGAAAAGAAGTTGTATTATTAAGGAAACGCCATTTAAACCAAAAGCCATAAAAAATGGAAAATTTGAAGATCTTACAATTATTATGTAAATCACTTTAAAATGGAAACCTTTGCGAAGGATAACATTGAAGTAATTGAAAATCCGTCCAGAACTTCATCAATAACTACAGTTAAACAAATCTCGGAAAAAATATTTCAAGTCTCGTCACCTGTCTCGTCGTGTCGGAAAACACGTAGTGTAGTCCCTTTTATTCATGGAATGCAATTTGAAACTAACACATTTTGCGCTTGATCACATTTTATGGACAGTTAAAGTAGTTGAAAGAAAAGTGTTTTAGACATTTTTACAACCAGTGACTAATTAATTTTTTTAATAAATAAGTAACATGTCAGGTGTCAAGGCTCGCGCCGAAAGCTATATATCAAATCTAAATACCTTTTAAAGAGTAATGACAATTGTGAAAAGCAAAAAAAACTGATATCATTTGAGCAAATCTTTAAGAGATGCATTTGCAATTTGACTTTGATAATAAACGTTTTCTCATTAATTTATGCTCTAAGTAATTTTATAAATGTAGAATAACTAGAAAGATACAGGTTTTGTCACCGTCGTCGTTGTAGTTTTTGTTGTTTGACAAGTTTACAGATTATTGACAATACATTGTAAAATAATGATACAATAGAATTAACAACTATCGTTTGTCATTTCTGAGAAAAAGCTATGTTAAATAACTATTATTTTCATGACAATCTTATCTTATATTTCAATGGTGTTGTTTCTCAAGCCATGATTTACGCCTGTAATTTTAACAGTTTAATTATACACTTGTGTCAATCAATATCGTTTCTGTCAATATTTCAAACAATGTATGTATATATTTTTACAGATTTACCACAGTCGGCTATTGTCGCTATTTGCCTGTGTTCTGTAATCGTCCTCGTCATTGGTGTCGGATTCTTTGTGTATAGGTTATATATAGAATTTATATATTATTAAAAAAAAACAATAATCATTTATTTAATAAAACACAAACATACACAGAATGTACTGCAACTATGCTTGGCTCAATTCATTTGGTAAAGCTTGCAAGTTGAATTCAATATTTTCGTGGCCATAGGCTCTTGAATGTGGTATGATCAAAAATTGATTTATTTTGAAAATAACAAAATTAAAAAACCTCGTGTTATTGAAAACAAAATTTGTATGTAACATACTTAGAGTTAACTTGTTGGCATTGCTGAAATAGCAGTAGTGAAAGAATGATATTCAGCCAAGTTGTTCTGCTGCACACAGCCAAGGTACCCATTCGTTCCTTAGATAATAATCACATCATCAAGGGTTATCTTTTCGTCATTGTAGTAGTGAGGCGGACTTTCAAACTTCTCTGAAAAATTATTCCGAAACGTAAATCGCAGCAAGATCGAATGTTATTTTGTAAGCTTATCAGGGTCCATCCCACTACTTAAACATTCCTCAATAGAAATCCAGAGCCCAACAGATAAGATCGGCTTCCACCACACGATTTTTCTTTCGTGCACCATTTGCAAGTGGACTTTCCTACTGGAGCACCGGCTGTGCATTATCGCGCGAGGCAAAATTCATCTGTTCACCGGCGAATTGTCAACATCCGGCACTCGTTCTCTTTGAACAATAAACAACTATTTATGCATTATCTTGCAAAGTATGTCCATGAACTCGTCTTAAACATTCAGTAAATCAATGAACTACATGGTAAGAATAATGCTGATCACTAAACCTGTCTTTTTACCTTCGGTTTTATCAATCTTTGCCACATTAAATAGTACACTCAACCAAGTGTCATGAACCAACCTAGGGATTTCTGATAGTTATTCCTTGATATTGGAGACTTTCACATATGCCAGTTTGTGAAACACAGACCCCATTCCCTCACTGCATGCAGTCTAATCTCTATGCGGCCGGGGTATCTTCTTTAAACCTAAACAAAACCTTCGCTACCTCAGCTGTCTACTAATCCTACGATCATCTGACACCCAACTGAACCCTGGACCAATACAGCGCAAGTTTAAGTTCCCATGCGGCGTTTGTGAGAAAGGCTGCCATTGGAATCAGAAGGCTATCTGCTGCGATGAATGTGAGACATGGTACCACGCCAAGTGTATACAGCTGAATAATGCTGTCTTCCTGCCCTACACTAAATCTGACAGCGATATGAGCTTTACATGTTTTTCTTGTGGTATCCCCAACTTCTCCTCAAGCCTATCTGACTCGGTCTACATCCACGAGAATGACACAGATCAACCAAACCATGGCACCAGCCTACATTCGGTTGTCAGCAGCGACATCTTAGATCTAGAGAGCGTATCCAGCGTCAACTTATCAGACATATCCAGTATTTCCAGGTCAATCACAGCACTTCTCTTATGGAAAACTTCCCACCGTCATGCTCTAGTCCTAAAAAGAATTTCAAGCACAAACTACGCACCAACAACATCAAACTAGCCAGCATAAATATTCAGAGTGTCTGCAGCTCCAAAAAGAAAGCAAGCTTCTGGAATTTCCTCGAATCTGTCAGCTGCGATATCATATGTGGCTGTGAAACGTGGCTAAACCCAACAATTTATGAAGAAGTTTTTCCAACTAACAGCAACTACACCATCCACCGTAAGGATAGAACTGATGGCTATGGAGAGAGCCTCATTTTTATTAAGGAAAACATTATCAGTGAACCAGGCGAAGATAACACTCCATGTGACATCCTATTCCAGAAAATTGAATGCATCAATAAAGAGACCATTATCATCGGCTCAGCTTACAGACCAACTGATAATGTTGAAGAACATTCAAAACATCTATTCCAAGCCATCTCACACATCTGCAATAAATTTATGAACGCTACTATTTGGATTGTGGGTGATTTCAAAAATGGCTGCAAAAAGATCATTGAAGATGAAGTCCCACATCGCCAAAGTGCTCAAAGATGTAATCAGCCATAGATTAGCCGGGATATAAGGCGAACTACCAGACCGAAACGAAGGTGGTTCAAGCGTGCCAAGAACTCAAACTCCACTTCTGACTGGCCCAAATAATAAATATTAAAAGGAAAGCCCATTGCCTATGCAGATCCGGTCACGATGCCCACATATCAGACATGCTCCAGCCAGACCATCAAATCCCAAAAGTCTTCTGGAACTATATCAAATTCAAGAAGAAAGACAACTTTGGTGTGTCTTAAATCAAGAAGGATGGGTTGGCATACAGCGACGGTAAACAGAAAGCTGAACTTCTGACCGACCAGTTCACCTCAGAGGACAGGGCTCAAGGTCCTACGCTTCCTCCTAGTCGCTTACCAACTCTAATCCCTATACATGCCACGATTAGGGGCGCCCAGAAGCCTCTGTCGAATCTCAAGCCAAACAGGGCTCGAGGCCCAAACAAGTTACTCACTAGGCTCCTCAAACTTTCATCAGCAGAGTTGTCTCTAGGCCTAGCAAACCTATTCCAACTATCTTTGGATCAAGGTCAGATTCCACTTGACTAAAAAACCGCCCTTGTCTCACCTGTCTTCAAAAAGGGAAATCGCTCCTCTCTGACAACATGGGTTCAGAGAAAACGCTCCTGCGACACTAATCTACTAATGACCATCAATGACTTAGCTAAAGAAATAGATTACAACCATCAAATTGACGCTGTTCTGCTTGACCTCTCAAAAACATTTGATAAAGTTCCAAACTCAAGTCTTCTTCGGAAACTGGACCATTATGGAATAAGAGGCACAAACCACTTCTGAATTGAAGACTTTTTCTTGTCGCGGACACAACAGGTTGTCCTTGAGGGCTCCTTTTCAGCTTCCTCACCTGTCACCTCTGGTGACCCTCAGGGCAGCGTCCATGGCTCTCTCATTTTCTTGCCCTACATCAATGATCTACTTTCCAAAGTCCAATCCACGGCTCGACTCTTCGCTAATGATTGCCTCCTGTATAGAATCATCCGTAGCCCTGAGGACTCACGCCAACTTCAACATGACCTTGATAGTTTCCAATTCTGGGAGGATGATTGGCAGATTGCTTTTAATACCGACAAATGTGAAGTCATCCAAATCACAAATAGAAAACCTATCACCAACACCTATAGCATCAACGGAAAAAGAACTCAAAACTCAGACCTTCTTTCGAAAAAACACATCGATAACATCACCAAAAAAAACTAATTTCACCATGTCCTTCATCAGGCGAAACATACAATCTAGCCCTCCAAGCGCCAAGTCTAATGTTTTCAAGATATATATTCGACCTACTGTTAAATACGCCTCATCTGTCTGGTCCCCACACTCTTAGGGTCTCATTACCAACTAAAATGGTCCAACGTCGCGCTGCCAGATTCGTGAAATAAGACTACGCGCGAACAAGCAGCGTCACCGACATGCTTATCGACCTCAAATGGGACACCCTCCAACACCGGCGCAACATCACCAGAACAACAATGTTTTTCAAGATAGTGCACAACCTTGTGGATATTATACTAGATCCTCCACTTATGAATGCTTAGACTATCAGAGGGCACAACCAACGCTTCAGCCAAATCAGAGCAGGCACCTCCATCTTCCAAAATAGTTTTTTTTCCCGCAACCATCGTGCTTTGGAACAAGCTGCCGCAAGACGTTGTTGACCATACCAGGCTGGATGCTTTCCAGTCAGCTCTGGCCAGCCAACACATAAAATACTAGTCACGGAGTTGTTTTTTACCCTTTTAAAAGAAACTTTAAATTGTTGAACTTTTTTTTTAAACAGTCAGTCCTGCCTTCTGCGTATGTATATACAGTTTTTATCCAATTGCGAAAAGGTGTAAAACATTTTAAATAAGCAAATTTCCATGACTTCGGCGGTTTTGTTTCTTATTCCGTTAGAGTCAAGAGAACATTTCTGGCTAGCTTAGGAATGTCTGCAATTCATGCAAAATAAAGCATACATGTGTACGTACTGTTATAGATCTGTCTTCACCAATAGAAATTTGAATTATTTTAGCGTTTGTGTAAATTCATCAAAATGAAACATATAAACCTTAAGTATAAAAAGTTAGACTATATTAAAACATTGTTTTTTCAAGGCGTCTCAAAGCGGAAGCGGAAATATACAGTCAGTGGTGGCGTATAAATGCAGACGATATTATGATACAGACGCACTCGTCTTTCTTCTCCAGTCGTAGCAAGGTAAATTACAACTATTTTTAGGATAGTTCATATCAAATAAAGGTCTTTATATCACTCACAAATCGTTTATAATTAATTTTTCTCCATTAGATTTTGATCATAAACTATCACTTGCCTTCCAACTAATAGCTCTCGTTCAGATACCAGAGGATAAAGTTTGCACATAAACGCCATTACAGTTATAAGTAAGCTTGTAGAAATATCAGTTTCAAAATGATTGTCCAGAATTATTTGATGTCTTGTGGCAATGTAATGAATGATATTCGATAGAAATACTGTAATGGTTATAATTGTTGAAGGTAACAACAGTCGATTGAAGTGTTTTTAGCCTACTATCAATTGTTTTAAGTGGTTTTGTAATACTTATTGAAGTTTTTGAATGGTTAAAAGACTGTTTACAGTGGTTTCGTAGCCTAAAATCAATTGTTTTCAGTCGCTTGTAGCTTCAATCGATTATTTTAAGTAGTTATGTAGCAACCTAATACATGTTTCTTTTAATGGTTTTTATTGTGGTCTTGGTTATGTGTTCGTCGTTCAAAGTTTTTATTTGCAATGAATCTCAGGCATATAAAATATCTTAAACTACATATCACATATTGATATGAATGATATAATTAAGTTTTTATATCAGCAAAAGAGTTCCTAATAGAAGACTTCATCTTCGTACGCAATCCCTTAATGTCTTTAATTGTGTTTAGTGATTATACTGTTTACACATTGTTTCTCGTTTGGTAACGACATATTTTAAGCTTGATTCCGAAACAAGTTCTTGAAACTTATAGTTATCACGATTCCGATTCTTGGAACCAACCAGTACTGATGTCATATGAAGAAACATGGTCTTTACCCGATTAGGGCTCGAACCAATGATCTACAAGTTGAGGGGCAGATACCTTAACCACTAGGTCAACGCTCCCCTTTATCGTGTCCATCCCTATGTAAGAAATAAGCCATTGGTTAGACTAAATAATTAACATTTTGCATTATAATTTAGGTAAATTATAATTTAATGTATCGATCTACTGAACATATATTTCATAAGTTTATATAATAATGTTATAATCAAGTGTACATACAAAAGGTTGGGCCAAAATTTTTAATATCATTTTCCTGGACCCTCATCTCTATTATACATTCACAACCACCCGGTATGTTGCCCATTTACGTTGTCATTATTTATTTTCTTGTTAAGCTCGAAGAGTCTGATGAAAGATCATCGATTACCTTGGCAACTCACGCTGCTTGTTTCCAAACCATTGGTGTTTACAGGGTAAGATCGTGTTTCTTTGTTGCTGCTGTTTTTGCTGTTATTATTTTTCAAATATTTTAGTGTCATTTTTAATTTCATTTCTTACACTCTGATTTAATTTGTTCTTATTTAATTGATTGACTTATTCGTTATGTCATGTTTGCTTCATAAGAATAATTCTGACAAGCGTAACTAACTTCATGCTTTTCTTGCTATGTATGTATAAAACTGTTTCCAAAGCATATCAATCTACCATTCTAAAAAATGCATATCCCGGTTACTTAAGACATTTTTTTTCAACCAGCAATAGGAATAGTAAAACCGTTTTCTTCAAATTTTGGTAGTTACTCTGTCTAAAAGCTATTGTAAAACCAGTAATAGAAGGGATAAAAAACTGTGTCCAAAATTTAACGTCTCTTTATATCTGTACTGGTATATAAATACTGTACTTTACAGACGTACATTTAATAGTACGTTCATAGATTTCTCATTCTGCAGTTCTAAAACATATTTGTGCAGGTATATAAAGTCTTGTTCACCAGTAACAGGAGTAAATATATAAAAAGATGTTTCACACGTTTCTCAATCTGCCTGTCTTACACCTGTTTCTACTGGTATATAAAGACTTTTCTACCAATAATTGGCGTAAAATGTTGTTGTTTATTTCTCCAAGTTTTGTTTTCAATTTGCAAGTGGAAAAAGTTATAACTGTCGGTAAATAGACAAGTTGACTGTCTTGAATCACCGCTAATATTGTCAAAACTAATTAATGTCACATACATCTTTGTTTTGTTTGTTTGATTGAGTTCTTGTCACACATACACAGTAAAGGTCATATGGCGACGTTTCAGCTTTACTAAGTTCTGAAGACCTCTGGTGCCCTTCTGTGTTTTATTTTAGGACGATCAGGCACCTGAGTAGAACCACCGACGTTCCGTAAGCTAGTTGGATAGCTTCCTCATATGAAAGAATCTAAAGTCCCCCTCGGAATTTTCTTTTCGGGATTTGAACCCACATGGTTGAGAGGCAAGTGGTTTGAAGTCAACGACCTTAACCACTCGGCCACGTACGCCCCTATGTCACATTAATGTAAAGACATTTAGGATCTAAACTTTGACTAAGGCTCGTGGCATTTGGAACCTTATTGTAACAATCTGTCTTGAAGAACATTTTCTGGCGTTTTTTTTTCTTTCAGGGAACTCAGGTTCATATCCGAAAGCCAAAGATTAAATCAGTATCTGTAGATAGAAAGCTTCTTCTGGAACTTAAACAGGTTTGATTTATAATCATGATACTTTCTATCTAATCAGTGGTAATACGCACGCAAAAGCTCCAATTACCACAAGTAAATTGTTGGTTTTAATTATCAGTAATCCGGTAATTGTGCTTCTTGATATGTTGACGGATATGACGTAAGCAATATTAATGTATTTATTCTCATCAAGAACGCGCATTAAGCTTAATTAAAGTGTACGAAGGAGTTTCTGTATTGAAAGAATTTTCTTTGACAAATAAGACATATATATTTGTTTGTCAAATGAGATAACGATACGCAGTAGGTTATTTACTTTTATTAAGATCATCTATTTACGAATCTAAATTCCTGTTTGATATATTATTGATCCATCCATAAGCAATGCAATTTTGCACAAGTTTTAAAACAAAACTTTGAAGCATATAAAAGCTATCAAACTTCAAATAAAGTAATAATGCCGTCTATCATTCGTCTTCGCTAAAATTCTCAGAAATAATTACTTTCAGTTTATAAATAAATAAGTGCTTGGAACAGAACCCTGCTTCTAAGCTTTTTTTAATGTATTGGAAGTTTCTCTCGTAAACAAAATGCACGAGGATACTTGGTTTCTGTGAATCTGCAGTTCACTAATGTATTAGAAACATAAAGCAAATTATGGTGATGGTAAATAAAGAACTGGCATTGCTTTTATTACCTTGCTGATTGCCATAAATGGCTTTTTGAGTAATTGAAATGATTGTTTATTTATAGATACCCATAGATACATGTCTATGAACCTTAGCCCATTTATAGATACACATTATGCCTCGGAGATTTATTTATGTTTTAGAAGTGTTATACATATGTTTTATAATGTTTTAAAAATGTATTTAGAAGATGAACATGTTTCATAATTGAAGAAAGTAGGTCTGAAAGTGCTGTAACGTATCGGAAAGGTAGAATAATGTAAACAAACTAATATTTTGACTGTCACACAATACACTAATTCACATTAATTATACCAATGGCCAACAGAGCAAAATTAGAAAAGAAAAAAACAGATATTATGCATTAGGCTAAAAAGAAGGTTTAAAGAAATATAATTGATAGCATTTCCGAGGCATAATGTTTTTCAATCTATTTATATATACATATTTATTCCTGTCTATGGGCCTTAGCCTATTTTTTGATACACTAACTTTCTTGTGAGCCTTAGACTATCTATGATCCAAAGCCTATTTATAGAAACACTGATCTACCGAAATAACCTTTGCTAAGGCATGATACCAGATTAGACGCCGTGTAGCGCATATTTCCGCGAAATGTCAGGTATCAAGTGTTTTCGGTGGTTTATCCCTTTTTTTAGTGTCGATAAACTTTTAAAAAAGCAGACGACATATGTAAAAGCCGACAATTTTGCCCGAAGTCTGACCAGGCTTTATACTGTATGTAATTTGGCACCTTTATTTTTTAATTGAATCCCTTTAACTTTTTTAATGGCTCGTTCCAAAATTAAAGACGAATCAATTTATATAAATGTCATGTCATTGTTATGTAAAACGCTGATGTTGTTTTTGTCCTCTTTCAGATGCATTATATAACGAGTCCAAACCTGACTCGCTTGATTGGATTATGTACAGAGGTTGATAGTATCTGTATACTGACAGAACATTGTTCTAGAGGAAATCTTCAGGTAGTACTTGGTTAAATTGTAGATATGGTCTATATATATCAAGTGTCACTATGTTATTTTCCGAGATAACCATCCTACTTCTTTTTGCCAATATTGATCTTGATTGAAGTGAGAAAGTTTGTTAAGGATGTTGTTATCTGTACTAAATAAGAATAAATGCCTTTAAATGAATGCTTGTATTACATGTATTTCAATAGAAAAGAAATTCTCATTTTGTAGTACTACGTACATTTTGTAGTACTACGTAATACGTAAAGTTTATGTGCTTATTGTTACGCCATCACCAAGTTAATTACAAGGGCATTAGTTCTCAATGAAGACAATTTCATATAAGGGATTTATTTCAGACTTCAAGTATATGTTCCTTATTGTTCCTTACGCTAGCGCTTATCTTTCAAAAAAGTATCTTTCCTCCTTTAACATATATTTTTTCTTTTAAAAATGTTATTTTCACACTTTCTTCTATTCTATTAAGGAATTTACTCCAAAGTTAAAATAGATATGTCATATAATCATCCACGTCATATGTGGCAAGGATAATAATTCACCATTTTGATCCTTGCATTTTGTCTGAAACAATGTAGGAAAAGCGTCTGGTATAAAAAATGGACATCTGCCAGTATATGCATGGTGCTACATTTCTTGAATTTTCGAAATAACTGACGACACAAAAAAATCCATGATTAAAGTGCCCCTTTCTAGAAATTTACTCCTTATCTAGGCTCCATAATATCACCTATGGTTGCACTATTTAAGTGCGGTGTCCATAAGGACCATTGTAACTAGAAAAAAACGAAAATACGATGATGAAAAGTTGGAATAATGAAAACACGATGGTGAAAAGACGATGGTAACAAAAGTACGATGGTGAAAAGTCAAAGTAATGAAACAACGATGGTAAAAACTCGATATAATTTCGTGTTTTCACCATCGTGCTATCTAATTTTCACCGGAGTGGTTTCGTTGTTTTATTATTCCAATTTTTCACTAGCAAACACGCACGATTTTAACTATTTAAAAGACACAATGTGTCCCATTATTTAAGGATTTTTGTATAAAACGTATTCATTTTTCAGGATATACTTCACAACGAATCTATCCAACTTGATTGGGATTTCCGTATTTCCTTGATTACTGACATAGTGGAGGTACACGTTATTCTATTTCCGGAAAGATATTTTCATAATTCAAAATAATATAAGTACTGACATTTTAAGGCACTAAATAACTTTACCCTTTCTCTTTCCTGTACGGTCTTTATTTACTTCTTAAAGAAAAGTTCATAAAAAATAACATGTGACATCACTTTTGCCTAGCAAAGTTATTTTTTCAAAAATAAAGAAAAACAAAAACAAAGCAAATCATCAATGATAAAGATGAAGAATACTTTATACACGTACAATTCATTTTTTAATATTTAAAATAATTCAATCTGTTTTAAACAAGATAAATCCGCCAAAAGACAGGGCCGGCAAAAAAGACCATTTTTTTGCATAGCAACTAAGTGATGGAATAATTCCAAAGTTATACCTAGGATTACGTCAATGGCTGCGTTAGTTACTTGATAAGTAGAATATATATTCCAAGACATTAATTTTTAAACAGTATAATCTTGTTTAGTTTTCTCATTTACAGGGTATGAACTATCTGCATGCCAGTCCTATCCACACACACGGTAGACTGACCAGCACTAAATGTGTAATAGACAGCAGATTTGTGCTTAAAATTACAGGATTTGGTTTGGATAGCTTAAATAAGGTCCATAGAAATACTGATGTGACAGATAATATCTATAGTATATATCATTTACATAATGTATTTATTTTATGTATAGCACATCGTCAGTTTTAAGGATTTGTAGATTGTTATTTTGACATAATAACACCGCTTTGGTCAGCATTGTTAGCAGACAAAGTTTAATTTAGCTATTATTTCGTGAAGGTTTTATTTTACGTTAAAAATGATTTAATGTTCAATTTGTTATGTACTATAATACAAATCCACATAATTATCTTCTTCATTGCATAGTCCGTGCTACAATTTTCAGATACCAGAATGTTCTTAAACATAGTACCATCACAGAGCTACATTTATATATAAGTCTGGTATTTTTGGCAAAATAATATTGATTAACGTATATGTACTTATGTTTTATTAATTATTAGTTTCATTAATAGCACAAGGGTTATGGCTCATTTAATGTTCACAAAATTTGTGTTTGATATGAGAAAACATTTATCCAAAATCAGAAAAGAAATCTAAGTCTATTCCCATTACACATAGACAAGGGTAACAACTCTCATAAGAAGGTGTCTTTGCAAAATCAGAGTTTTCGCCTCACAGTGTTTTAAACAATAAAGCATAGATAAAAGGAGTTATGCAATATGTAGTCTAATAATTTATCTGTCGAACCAAGGTAAAAAAGTCGTATCTCCCTTACACGTTACAAGTGCTGACCGCCGAAGCAGGCCTCGCCGAAGTAACAAAGAACTATTCATTTACACGAGGTAGACATCGATCGCGGCTGCGCAGTTAACACAAAGTTACGCTACTGTTGCAACTGTTAGAGATAATATGACAAGCTTTTTATTAAATCTACAAACACACCAATAACCTATCATTGTAATGCAATGTAAAGTCACCTGCGGCTTCAGACTGTTTCCCCATTGAAATGTCTTTAAAAAAACACCGCCATCTTCGCGAATATGAACAACCGTCATGTGATCATTATGTCTATTTATTTCCCGAAAATGTGATTACTTTGATGTATTTTTGATTGCCCAGCATGATAAAAACTTGAGATATAAGCTCTAACAATTGCAAAAGTAGCGTAACTTTGTGTTCGTAAATGATCTTTTAATTCAATTGCCATAAATTTATCTTACAGGACCGATATTCAAAGACCGAATGTCAATTTTATTGCATTGCATCTAACTAGTAATGTAATCCCTAATTTTTCAATATACCTCTGTTTATTTATAGTATTTTTGTTTTAGAATGTAATGATTAATATTTGAGTACATCTAGTATTTAATTTACATAAACTTTTACAAGGTTATGATTTATATTGGAATACGTACATCTATCTTTTTATTAACATAAAATTTTACAAGTTTATCTTATGTTCGAATACATCTATTTTTTAATTTATATAATCTTTTATAAGGATATCATTGATATTCAAATACATATCTCTATTTATTACATAACCTTTTACAAAGTTATGACTTATATTCGAATACATCTATCTTTTTATATACAAAATGCTTAAGGATTATAATTTATATTTTGAGAAAAAAATACCTGCCGAATATAAAAGATAACGCCGATATTTAAATTCCATCACCTTTGATATATAATTGCAATGAAAGCGATCATAAACATTTATCGATTTCCAGAGCTTTAAATATCTTACGAAAACATTTTTTTTCATATAATGTACAAAATTTTCTCAATTTGTTGAGTATAGTGCGTACATGTAAGTGCCAATAATACAGCTAAACTTTATTTTTGGCAACTTTATTTTTAGCAACATTGCCGGAGCTTGTATGGATGGCACCTGAACATTTACGTGTATACCCACCAAGAAAATGTTCACAACCGGGAGATGTGTATAGTTTTGCTATCATTTTATATGAAATGTGTACAAGAAATGAACCTTACGTCAATGAACCTTGGTATATATCGCTGGACGGTGAGGATTTTAAATATATCATAATTGCTCAATAATTTTATTAATTATTTCTGGTGACATAAATATAGCAAATATAATTCAAATCCGGTAAGGTACTAGTATGTGGATTTTCAAACCATGATGTGTGTTTTATATATTTTTCTGATATGAAATTACTATAAGCGTGGAGATTTAATCATGTAATTAGTTTGTTAGTTTTGTTGTTGTTGTTTTGTTTTTTTGTTTCATTGCCATGTCAGTATTTGTTTAAAAATATATTGAAAAGATATTTAAGCAAATAAACGTGTTGCTTGGAAAGCTATCACTTTTTTGACATGAATGTTTTAAAACCGTAGTCAAAACAAATGATGAAGGACGTTAATCAGTGATTCCAACTAAATCTTTATTCGTGTGCCGTGTATCTCTTAAGAATAGATCCTATAGGTCGAAACTTTCACCACTGAATCAAGCATCACAGCGGAAAATGTATGGATATATTGAATTCCGTATATGATTATTATACGGGTAAATATACGGAAATATAATTTATTAATGATTAATATACAATCTCCGTGTTTAACTTAAACGCAGATGTGTTGTAAAAGTATAACTTCTAAAACAGCCTACTAACCATTGAAGGTACAATAAGCCAAAACAATGAATAATATTTTCCTTCCTAAAAATTAACTCCCGTACAAAAATCTAAATCAATGTCACTGTAATAATTAGCAGACACCAAAAAAGAAGCAAAAAATTGTTCGACTATACCAACATTGTCAATTACTCTAAAAAAGTAGTGAAAGGACACAAAACGAAAAATGTTTTTAAAAAATGTTATAGCATTTTATGGCTTATTGAGCCTTTAAATAATGTCTGTACCCTTTCTTCAAATATATGAAAATTCTATAAATATCTTGTTAAATTGTGGAACATTGGACTTAAGTAATTAACTGTGACGACAATTTTGTTTGGCAGATACACTTCAGAAGATCAAGCATGGTAGATCTCGTTTTGTAAGGCCAACACTAAATGAGTCAGACTCATTTCCAGATATTGTGAACTTGACAAAATGCTGTTGGCTTGAAATGCCAGAGGATAGACCTACATTTCACAGTATAAGACGAGTGATACGAGCTATCAAAATGAAAAGGTTTAGTTTATGCTTTTCAGTGGATTACTGATTTATCCATGAAAATTATATTTGATAATTTCACAGTGAAAATGTTTAAAATAAAATTTTTCACTTTTCAATGACGAAACCACTTTTTCCCCATGTGTTACCTCAATTTTATTTTTGCTGACAATTCTGACATTGTCAGGGCCGTTTAGAGAAACGCAAAGCTAAACTTGATAAATTACTTGAATTTCACAAAGTAATAAAAAGAAGAAAACTGACTTTAATTCATTCGATTTCCAAATATTGTCTCTAAATATTTTGTTTCATTTTTACAGTCTGAAAAGTACAATTCCTTCCACATGCAAAACTTCTCTTGATAATATTTTGGGTTATTTAAATAAACTACGAGCAATAACTGCCTAATGCAATATGAAAATTTGAAACACATTGGCAGCCATCAGCCCGAAGAATAAATAAACAACCCTGCGTTCGTATGGCAGCCTTTCAACAATTCCATGTTTTCCAATTTCCTAGCCGCGTTTTGAATACTTACACATCTGTCAACCTTTATTTATTGTCTCAGACTGTCAACCAGGTCTTATCCAAAATAAAGGAGGAATATAGGAATATTTTAGCAGGAAATATAGGAGTTTTTGGACCATTTGAGGCAAAAAAAATAGGAGTTTTCAACTTAAATTGTTTAACTTACCAATGCTTATATAAATGTAAATTATTCTTACTTTTACACATGCTGTTTCTACAATAAAATGTCTACCGTGTAAGTGAAGGAAACCATTAGCAGGCTGTCCAGCACCTTCCGACATAAAATTAGGGCGAATTTTACGGTAATATTTCAGAAATTTTAAGGCTAAAATTAGGAATTTTAGGGTACGTAATAGAAATTTTAGGGCTAAAATTTGCAATTTTATGAAACAATAAACTAAGGTCCATAAAGACCATGATGTGGGCTAACCTTTGCATATTTGACACAAAAGTAACTCACAAATAATGCTCTAGTTTAGTAATAGAGCAAGGTGCTACCAGTGTGGACTCACTGGTTAACTGCCCACGGAAATGGTCATAGTCAAATCATGTTCAAACCATATTTTTTAAAATGGCTGAACATTTCAAAAAGAATATGACTGTTCTACCTATGTTTTGGGAATGTTATAACCACAAGTGTCTAAAAGGAATTCTTATACAGTGAAATTCTTGCACAATGCAGCTTTTGAATCATAGTTATGGACAAAAGAATTTTTTTGTAAAAGTAGGTAAAAAGTAACAAGCAATTATCATAGTATTGCAAGCAATCCATAAGTCCCCTACCGGTTAGAACCCCAGCAACTTTCTGATGGGCCATTGGCCAGTCAATTTTACCAGTGAATGAATGACATGAATGAACTTAAATCTTTTGAGTTCTAAGTTTGTCTATAATACAGTAATGTGTTAAGTTTCCCTGCCTAGTAAGGAAATTATGTTTATACAACCTTGTCATATTATTACGATGTGGGATTTTAAAGTACATCCTATAAGGAATGAAGAAGTTGGAGTGAATAATACCAATTTCTAGAAAAAAATCTAAGTTCAAGCCGGACATAATTCTGGAAATAGTCTTGCTAGAGTATTTAACCTTCTCAAAGATGTTGAGTGATAATAAGAAACATATATATGAAGTTTCAAGTAGATACATTAGGAAATAAAGAAGTTATTTAAAAAGACAACATTTTTTTCATAAAAATTCTAAGTTCAAGGGAGGTAATACTGATAATTGTTGTGCTAGAGTTGTAAACCTTGTCACATATGTGGTTGATGAATAGAAACTTATATTTAAAGTTTGAAGTAAACACCTTAAGAAATAAAGAACTTATAGTGAAAAAAACTGAAAAAATCAGAAATCTTGAAATTCAGGCTATTTGTTGCCATAGCAACCAGAATTTTCAACATAGGAAGAAAATAAAATAATGTGCATAATCTCCAGACTGCCATCTACCCATATTTCAAGTTTCATAAAAATATTTTCAGTACTTTTTGAGTTATCAAAGGATCCAGTTTATGTGTTAAATTTGCCATATTTTCGGACTATTTGTTGCCATAGCAACCAGAATTTTCAACATAGGAAGAAAAAAAAAGACGTGCATAATCTCCATACTGCCATCTATCCATATATCAAGTTTCATAAAAATATTTTCAGTATTTTTTGCGTTATAGTGGGATCCAGTTTATGTGTTCAATTTGCCATATTTTCAGACTATTTGTTGCCATAGCAACCAGAATTTTCAACATACGAAGAAGAAAAAAAGACGTGCATAATCTCCATACTGCCATCTATCCATATATCAAGTTTCATAAAAAATATTTTCAGTACTTTTTGAGTTATCGCGGGATCCAGTTTTGTGGACGGACGGACTGACGGACTGACGGACTGACAGACAGACTGACAGACGGACAGACAAACAGACAGACGGACAGACAGACGGACGGAGGGTAAACCTAAAGTCCCCTCCGGTTAAACCTGTAGGGGACTAAAAAGGCATTTGCCTTAGTACAGTCATTTGAATAAATGGGAAGCATCTATAATCAACACAAAGAATTGCACATCAAAAAAGTTCATCACACAGACCATTCAATTGCAGTTTATCTAGATCACATAATTGCAAAATGTGTGTACATTGTAATTGAAAATGAGCTTTATATTACTGAACTGCCAAATTATTTTGAGTGTGATTAATTATATGAGTCTGCCTTTCCTAAATTGCACCATATGAATGAAAGAACAAGAACTGAATGAAATTGATAACTTTGTGGCAAAATAAGCAATTTCTCCTACAAAGATACGAAAAGAATAAATATGTATGAGGGAAAGAATTAATTTTTCAAAGTCTATGTTAACCCATTCAGTACTTTACAATGTTGTTTTGATAATATGCAGATTTAAATAAAAGAGTTGTGAGTAAACAAATTGTACATTAATTTTTGACAACTATTTATACATGTTTTTAATTAAGATTGTGTTACAACAGCTTCATAATGATCATTTTTAAATATGATATGATAAAAATGGACCACTTCAGAAATTTGGATAAAATGAACAAGCATTAAATTCAAGATATCTGGGGTTTGCAAAACAGTGTCAAAATATTCAAGAATAAGTGGACCTCTTATGGTTATGATTTAAGTTTCAGGACAATGATATGGTAGTGTTTTTGCTGTTAACTGTCAACATGATTATCAACAACTGCTTTGATTATGAAATAGCAATGTTACTGACATAGTCAAAGTAACTTTTTGTTGAAACGAAACCATTTCAATGTCATCAATTTTGAGTTGGCAAATCATGGCCAATTCATTTTTGACAATGTTCAAAACATGGTCGATTTTGAGTTATGTTTACAGGGTTACAAGTTATAAGTATGTTTAGTACAAAAGATAAAAATAATTAGGAATTTCAGTGAAAAAATAAGGCATTTTTAGGAATTCCCTTCGAATTTTTCACTTTTTTAGGAATATTAGGGATGCTGGATAGCCTGCATTTAATTTAGCTTTGAACCACAGCATCAGCAGAAAGTTACAGCAATGCATTGCGATCATCTGAATGGTCACCTGAAATAAAGTTGACATACTGATGCACTGCTTTTCATGGTGACCACGCAGATGGCTATGTGGAGCACAGCAGCCTTGAGCATAGTAATGTGATGCTGATGCAGGCATACACATTCTCTTACCTGTAATACAAAAGGCAAAAAGCAGTACCAAAATTTAAATCTCTTTGAATTCCTCGGAAATATATTTTTAAAAAAATATAGGAAAAATATTCAAAATATAGGAGAATATGGGAAAAAAGGAGGTTTTTTAAAATATAGGATTCCGACCCAAAATATAGGAGTTTTATAGAAATATAGGAATTGGTTGACAGCCTGTTGTCTGTAGCAATCCTCAAATAATTTTTTCTTTCTTCCAAAAAGATATATGACTAACAAATCCAAATGATATCCCTCGGAATCAAACACATTTATTTTCCTCCCGTGAAATACGCATCATTTAAAAATGGCGACCGCTTACATTTTCACAAGGCCAGGTCTAATATAAAGTCGCAGTAAGTAACGAGAATAACGCCGGATGGTGTGACTTTTTCTTCTACTAGAATCGATTGTTTTTATTATTAAAACAAGCGATCATTCATATTTGTTTAATAAAATGAATAATATCATCGCCATTTAACGTTGATTGACCAACTTAATTTTCAGTCAACCACTTCTTGTATTTCATGAGAAATTCGACTAATAGAGGCTACCAGTGGGGAAAACAGATTTTAATATTAATGTTTATACATGTATTAAGGAAATTTCGTTTTAACTTATTTTTTAGCATAAAATAAAAATAAAGTGTGTTTGTTTGTTGTGTAAGATGTAATTTAATTTCATCTCGTGAACTTTAAAAACAGTATTCTCATTCGTGGCTACGACATTCGTGACAATTCTGTTTATAGAGCCCACTCGATGAAATAAAATTTCATATAAAACACAAACAAACAAATATCCTCTATATACTTACAGTACATTAATGTAACAGCTAAAACGAAAGCTAAAAGTGGTATAAACATCAAATTATAATGTAATCCCATGTCAAGTTTTTAATAATTATTTTGCAAGTTTTCTCTTTGAAGTGTCTCAGCTGACTTGAATCACGTGTCTTTAATGCTTTTGAAAGGGTAACTTACGACGTACAATTGATTATGTATTTATCACATTTAGACTTCTGAATTTAAAATAAAGGTAAATTATAACTATATACATGTACATGTATGTTATAATATCCTTAAAAATCTGCATTTTTGGCTCTGACATTATATCATGCATTTATGTTATACATTCCAGAAATATCAATCCAACGGAAAATGTTCTTGACGTGCTGTTGAATAGAATGGAACAGTATGCCAACAACTTAGAAGGGTTGGTTGAGGACAGGACCCAAGCTTTCCTAGAAGAAAAGAAAAAGTCAGAGGAGCTGTTGTACCAAGTATTACCAAAGTAAAACTTTTGAATATTCGTTTTGAACTCACTTTGAATAACCTAGACACTTGAGTAGTTCGTAACTTTAATTCGATAATAATTGTATAAAATTTTTATGTTTTATAAACAAATGAGATACATGTACAGCTATAACATATTCTATCAAAATATCAAATATGTTTATTCCGTCGTATACTTTACCAGCGTTTTGTGTCCCTTGTCGAAGCGTTCGCGGCAGAGTGGTAAAGATGGTTGACTTCAAACCACTTGCACCTCACGGATATACGGAACGCCAGTGGTACAGAGGGGTACCTTATGTTTTCCACAACAGTGAAGCTAGAAAATCACCATTAACCCTCTGATGTAACAACCAACAACAAACCCCAACTCGCACACAAATAAATAAAAATTCTAGTATAGTCCGAGGCCTAGTATAATGACAACAAAACCATTTATTTGTAAGAGAACACCTTTATTTACAGTGATTGAAATTAATTTGATTTTAATATCAAGAAAGTCAACTTCAGATCATGCTATTATTTGTTGAAATTTTTACATCTAGGAGCGTGGCTGATCAGTTACGTGCGGGAAAGTCCGTAATACCTGAATCATACAGTTGTGTTACAATTTATTTCTCGGATATTGTTGGATTTACAGAAATTGCTGCGAAAAGTTCGCGATTCAGGTAACTCATCAAAAGTTCGGCGATTCAGGTAACTCATTTCAGAAAAGTTCGGCAATTCAGGTACATCATGTTGCAAGTACTGTCAAAAGGGATTTGAAATTAAAAAAAAAAATGAAATTCCTCTTCCTCTTTTACTTTAAGCATGTTTTTAACTGATCTTTTACGATATTGATCTTGTCATCTAGAAAGGTAATTGAAATTGAGGTTGAGTCAAGGTTCAATTTTGTTAAGGTCTGTATATAATTTAATGTTTTTATCTTATTTCTCTCTTTGATATTTGTTGTTATGATAAGAATACATATATTGAATGTCTTATACAATACAGAGGCTCAACTCCTTTTCGTTTTCAGTTTCATATTGAAAATGTTTTGAGCAGGGTAATGAAGCCTAATTTATTGAGATTATCTTTTCTAATAACATGTGATTTTAAATTACTTTAAAAAAAATTGATTGCAATTTATCATCTTCAATATTTTTTAGGTGGTCGACTTTTTAAATGGTGTGTACTCATGTTTTGATACAATAATTGAAAATTATGATGTATATAAGGTAGGTTAGTTCTATTTTCAATTTAATTTTTATTTACATGATTAATAATGATGTTTCTTTATTTACTTTAACTTCACATTTTAAAATAGAGAGAAATAAAGAATCCCTAAAGAACATCCAAAACGACAAAATTGTAAATGTTGCAGGCTCAGTTTGATTGAGCCTGTTCATGGACGGTAATGGAAAGTAAAATATAGCGTTCACGCCCCCTAGCACCGACTTATAATAAGCAGAAATCAACATTTTACATGAACTGATGCTTTTCACGCCTTTCACTATTTATGAATGTTCAAAGGAACTTAACAAATTAACTAAGACAATTCCTAAGTAAAAAACATTTTCTGTAAAGGTAAAATTTCTTCAGGTTGAAACGATTGGAGATGCCTACATGGTAGTGTCGGGACTTCCGGAAAGGAACGGAAATGACCATGTGCGTCAAATCTCACGAATGGCTTTGGACATTGTTCATAGTGTTCGTCAATTTACCATACGTCACCAGCCGTGCACACCTTTGAAAACTCGTATAGGAATTCATTCAGGTACATGTACAAGGTTTTATTTACTCTAAATGTCTCTTTGTAGCGCCACTCTAATGACTTAGCCCTGGCCGATCAACTAATGTTCCAAGGAATTTGGGGTATGAATTGACTTTAACCTGCCGTGTGCATAGTCCGTGACAAGCATACATCATAGGATTAGTGGTATAAGTAAAATGTTTGGATTAAAGTATCCATGCTCTTATATGGCGTACATTTGATAACTAACTTATCATGTACAAACTAGATCTTAAAGATAAACTATGCTTAAAGGTGCGTTTATTTCTTTTATCATAGAAACTTATTAAAATCTGTGAAATTCTTACTGAATACTCGTAAGTCTAACTTAAATAAGAAAATGTACAAATTATGTATGGGAAGCTGCATTCCCTATAACTGGTCAAGTAAAATTGGTCCTTTGTTAAAAAGAAAACTGCAGGTTTTTTAATGACACTATTTTTTCATATTGTGTCCACCTATAGTGTGCAGATTTTATACATAACATATCAACTTTATATGAAGTCAGACGATGTTTATTTAATCACACAAATGAACTGTGTAGCAATTAAGAATATTTTCAAACATCAAATGTTAGCATCTTTAAGCTTAGAAAATATTGACTACTATGAACTGTCTCCTAACTATGTGTAAGTCACATTGAACTTTAAAGTCTTTTGATATCAACGACTTAATGAACATCGCTTAAATTTCGACTATGGTTTAAAGTTTGGAAGCTGCCATTTTATAAGTGGCATAATTTTGTCATTGTCAAGTTGAGCTACATTGACTATATAAAACAAAAGATTGCCCGTTATATGGTAATAAACCAACACTTGATATTGTAAAATGTGTAGGAAAATGAAACTCTGCCTTAAATATAAAGAATTTGAACGGTACAGGGTAATTTCGATGACTATTCACAAACAATTTTACTCGGCTATGTGAGTTAGTTATCGTTAATGCGAAATAAATGCAAAAAAAATAAAGGAATTTCGGCAAAATCACTCACTGTATAGACTTGCTTGAGTATGGTATCATTTTAGTTAAGGCTTGTGTCTGTTTAAATGTCCAATCTCGTAGTGGATTATAGGAATGGCCATCATCTGCCAGTCTGTTTGTTTTTCGTCCGTAACATTTTCGTGTCTAAAATATAACTTAAAAAAAATCAAAAGTGTTTAAATGACTAAGCACAAATGATCATCACCATTATAAGGCGATATTAGACGATATGCGATCAGGTCTAAACCCCCAAAGTCAAGGTCTTACTTACAGGGCATTTTAGGTGCAAAAAAGCCAACATACTATTTCCGCTTCATAACTTTTAAACAGATGAAAAGGTTTTTAATTATTACTAAATGGTCACCATTAGGAGACAATAGGCAATTAGGTCGCTGCCCCTGCACCCCCTCCCCTGATCATGGTTTCTCGTACAGGTAAAATGTAAAAATGTCTTGAATTTCAGGTCTCTTCATAACTTTTGAATTAATAAAAAGATCAAAAAACCCTTTGCACAGATGATCATCATTATTAGACAGTGTACAGATCGTAAAAAAGAGGTTGCTGTGCAAAAGTCAAGGTCACACTTTCTCCAAATGTAGAATATATAAAAGTTAAAAAAAACATTTTTAACAAACACCATTATGAAATATTGCGCAGAGCACAAAAAGGCCAAGAGCATACAATAAGGTGGTTCAAAGGTTGAAATCCTTACTGCGGCAGGGGATATACCCTTCTTTCAGACTGCCTTGTAAAAATAATCACTATCAACAGCACACTACGTATATCTACTTCCCGAATGTGCATTCAAATTGAAAATGATTCTGGTTGAGTTTTGTTTGCGTCAGTTCCATTTCATAATGATAACATGTTTCAGGTCCTGTTTGTGCTGGAGTGGTAGGGATGAAAATGCCTCGATTTTGCCTGTTTGGTGACACTGTAAACACTGCAAGTCGAATGGAATCTTCAGGAGAAGGTATTTTTCGTTACACTAACACGTTTGTTAGATATGGCTTAATTCATGACCTCTGAGTTAATTATGAAACTATGAAACTATGACCTTTGTTATTTTCGAGTGTATACTTTATAAAATATGATAGGATGTGAATGCGTCCAATTTGAAATAGATTTCCTTTTTACATTGTAGCTATGAAAATCCATATAAGTGAACAAACAAAACTGTTACTGGAACAGGACAACAATTTTATCACTGCAGAGAGGGGTACAATAACTGTCAAGGTAATTATTCACATCCATTTATTTACCATTTTTCTATATGTAGCAAAAACATGGAGAAGGTTGGCAGTGCTACTATGTGTCTGTCTTTGCTTGAAGCATTTTAATTATGGGTTTTCTTTCTCTCAAGAACTAAAAGCTAAATAACTTTGACACAAGCCTTATAACATTGCCAGTGTCTTTTACAAATGTAGATAAGACACTCATGCCTAACACACAAATTAAGAAGAAAAAAAAAACTAGTATTATTCTTTTGTTATTCGATATACTTTCTAAGTTCAGTGGCCATTTGTATTCATGAATATTTTATAACACTGTTATATGTTATATTTTATGCATCTTTAGTTCTCGACAAAAGACCAGATAAGTTTTCAATAGTACCAAATAAATACATGTTAACAATATTTCGACTTTGGTTATAAGTGGGCATTTTAAAATTTATGATGATTAGCAGACATATTTTAAATCATAGTTTTACCGAAAAAGACTTTATTGTCCTTTTAAGTTAAATATATACAGTATCAATGATTACACCCTCTTTTTTTGTTTAAATCTAAAACACGTGGTAGAACATCTTTCAATGTATTTTATTTCCGAGGTGATAATAGCCGAGATGTTCCGATTGATTAAAAAGGCCCTACAACAAGTGATTTAATATTAGCTAACACCATGTAATATTTGCATTTAAGTTATTTATAAAAAATCATAGTGTAAAGGGCACTGACAGTTTATTTCAAAACAGTGTTTTATTGAATATTTACCTTGTTGTTTTCAGGGAAAAGGACTAATGACAACTTTCTGGTTGATTGACGAAATATCACACCAAATGGACATAGTATTGTTGTAAAGCAAAGAAAGCCCGACATAAACAATCATACCCAAAATTATACATTTTTACTTGAAAGTAACATTACCCTTGTTGTCTTTGGTTTGAAATAATAAATGTTTTAAGCTGTTGCTGCTGTTGGTTATATATTTATTCTAGTTTGATTTCTAATTTAATAAATCGTACGTTATATAATTCATCTGTGTGGAAAAATGCAAACCAAATTTTGCTCACCTCTGCAAATAATAAGTCATGTCTCATATCCGCGCGTTCCTACTTGGTATTCTAAAACTGTTTCGTCCTCATTTTGGGATGTAAACGGTATCCGATTTGTAACATGTGCGTACTTTTACATTGCCATTGCTCACAAGTATAATTTGTGCAGTACGTTAATTATAAAACTATTATTAAAGTATCATTTTGTATTCGAATTATTCAATTTATATAGTGAATATATTCGAATAAAGTTTGTGTACCATTTTTGTTACATGATCTTGAAATGCACCTTACACCCTGATATACTTGGCCAAGATCAGAAAGGAAATCTTTTATACGGATTTGTTGAGATTGATATTCAGTTAAAAAACATTGTAAAATAGCCGTCTGCTTTTGTCAATAATTCTGAAAATAATTTTACATCCGTAAACATGAGAGCAGAACACTTGAAACGTAAACAGAAAACCCGTAATTTAGTGTTTGTACTACAATTTGAGTAATTTGTCAAACAAAATTTTGTCCAAACCATATGCATATGTATCATATAGAATTTTTTTGTTTTTTTGTTTGCTTTGTTTTTGTTAGTTTGATTTTCTTTGTTTCAGAAACTCATAGTTTTGAAAGCAGTGTAACACTCAGTCTATAAGGCAAATTAGTACATTGACTAGGTTTGATAGATCTTAATTCAATTGTTCATAGAAAGTTTAGATAGTTTGATAATACCAAAGCAAAATTATAACAACATCATTTACAGCATTGTTTAAACATGTACAAAGGTTGGTATTTGGCACAAGGACTATTTCAGACAAGTAACACTTGTGTCTTAAATTAATGAATATCGGTAACTCTCCAGAGCACTGGACACGACTAAAATATTACATTTTAGTTATTGGTATAATTGGACCGATTAATAGCTCAAGTTCAAAAAGAAACAAACATCGATATTCATTTGATAAATGAAATAAACATGCAACAATCAAAATCGTTACTTTTGTCTCCCAATGATGGTATTGCCATTTATATTGGGGAAACCGTTTGTATGTCAAAGTACATGTAATAGCATAACGAATCATACACTGTTCCTTTCAATAGTAGAAGAAAAGTAATACAGTGCCGTTCCTAAGGAAACATATACATATATCGGGATGACATATTTTGAAAATTTAAAACGCGTTCAATGTTCAGATACATATTATATGCAATGTATATAACATAGCTTGAAAAGTCGCTATATCTGTTGATAAATGAAACATGTGTCAAACTATAAAAATTCAACTATATTTAATAGGCATTTACAATTAAATATTGAATTAAATAAGTGGGTAAAATATTTGTTTTGAATTTCATACATGAATTTATACCTAACTAAATCAAGTTATTTTAGGGGGGAAGTTTCGTCATGCTCTAAAAATCAGCTATATTTTATATTTTGTATTTACAAATAGAAAATAAAAAATAGAAATTTAAAATAAAATTCAAAACAAATATTAAGTCACTTATTTAGTTTAATATTTTATTGAAAATGCATAATATAAAATGTAGCTAATTTTTTAAGCATAACACATGAAACGCAATACATACATAATATGACCTAAGTAAATAACGAGATAATAGTTTAAAAAAATTAATTTAAAGTAAATTAACCTTCTTTGTATACATATATACATATATAGTTCAAATATGTAGAATGTCTGCAGATAAGAACGTCAAATGTCAGTTAACTTTTAAACCATGTAAACAACATAAGAAGATGTGGCAAATATTATGTATGTTAACATGTATAATGAAGCTTTGTGTTTGTGGAGGAAATGTGAGAGATATAACAGGTGAATTTGCTATTTTTTGCCATAATATAAAATGTAAATAATCGTTTGCAATGAATAGTTTACAAACTCAGTACACATTTGTTATAAACCATTTTTTTTATAAACCAAATAACGTATTCGTATCTTTGTATGACATTTGTTATCTGACGAGAATATAACTTCTTATGTTATTGACATAATACAAGTAAAACTATGGCATACAAAAATCGACTCCAGGGGCAGAGACGAGTGTGTTCACATTCCATGTTGCTTTATCAAAATAAAGAACCTAAATAGTTAACCTTATTTTAAAAGTGAAATAAAAAGTGATTTTATACAATCTGATATATTCTGTTTAAATGTTTGTATTATATTTACAATGTATTTACATAATATTTGCTAATGTCAATAAATGTATGAAATGGAAAATTTTGATGCAATTTATCAAACAATTTATCGTTCTATGTGTTTTATAAAACAACTGTTCTTATGGTACAGTAAATAAAATAAATGCGCTCGATGTACTGTTTTGTTCAGTGTGAACAATCCATATAAATTAACTATTTCTTTTATGAAACAACCACATGTTAAGTGCATCTAAACAATTGATCAGTTCATTTTCAGTCAAAACATTTAGATCATTGTTCTATACGTATAGAAAACAAAACAAGTAAAACATTATACTATGCAATTTAAAAATTTCTGAAACATTGTTTCATTTGTTCCTTATTTCACAAAGTTTCTGAAACATTGTTCTATTGAATCCTTTATTTCACAAAGTATCTGAAACATTGTTTCATTTGATCCTTTATTACACAAAGTATCTGAAACATTGTTCTTTTATGATCCTTAATTACAAAAAAGTATCTGAAACATTGTTATATTATGATCCTTAATTACCCAAATTATCTGAAACATCGTTACATTTAATCCTTTATTACACAAAGTATCTGAAACATTGTTCTATTATGATCCTTAATTACCCAAATTATCTGAAACATTGTAACATTTAATTATTTATTACACAAATATCTGAAACATCGTTACATTTAATCCTTTATTACACAAAGTATCTAAAACATTGTTCTATTATGATCCTTAATTACACAAAGTATCTAAAACATTGTTCTATTTTGATTCTTAATTACCCAAATTATCTGAAACATTGTTACATATAATCCTTTATTACACAAAGTATCTGAAACAATGTTCTATTGAATACTTTTTTTCACAAAGTATCTAAAACATTGTTCTATTATGATCCTTAATTACACAAAGTATCTAAAACATTGTTCTATTTTGATTCTTAATTACCCAACTTATCTGAAACATTGTTACATTTAATCCTTTATTACACAAAGTATCTGAAACATTGTTCTAATGAATACTTTGTTTTACAAAGTATCTAAAACATTGTTCTATTATGATCCTTAATTACACAAAGTATCTAAAACATTGTTCTATTTTGATTCTTAATTACCCAAATTATCTGAAACATTGTTACATTTAATCCTTTATTACACAAAGTATCTGAAGCAATGTTCTATTGAATACTTTTTTTCACAAAGTATCTAAAACATTGTTCTATTATGATCCTTAATTACACAAATTATCGAAACAAAATTGTTCTTTGTAATCCTTAATAACACAAATTATCTGAAACATTGTTCTATATAATCTTTTGTAACACAAATTATCTGAAACATTGTTTTATTTAATCATTTATTACACAAAGTATCTGAAACATTTCTTTATTCATTGAGTTTTTTCTTTCTCTAATACAAAACGTTTCAAATTATTTTTTAAATTGCATTAATTGAATTATTTGTATTTTCAAGATTGTTCTAACGGTGCATTCCTCTTAGAAGGTTCATGTTTCAAATACATCGCAACTAACAATTCTTGGTCTGACGCCAACAAGTTTTGTCATGATATGAATGGAGGCCATCTGGCAATTGTAGACTCGGCTTCAATATTCGACAAAATAAAATCAATGGCAATCCAGCGGAGTAAGTTTTACTTTCAATTTGCTATAAAACTATACAAAAACTGCTTCAATATTAATCAGACTTGGCACAAATGTTGACTGGACCATTGCCTTTGTAACACCATGCCAAGGTTTAAATTTCCTGTTCCCAAAGCAACGAGGGGACATCTCAAAATTGCAAAAAAATCACTATTTTGCGTTTATTTTTTCCGTCAAAATTGATTTCAAAGTGCTGCAACTTCTCAATTGATTGAGATAGAGTCAAATGCTTTTCAGCGTTGGTTACACGTAACCTTATGATCGATCTGGCGTCATTTTAAATTCCAAAATTTTCCCCCTTCAAACCCTCCAAACAAAAGGGGGCACATCCCCCTCCTGGCCACCCCATTTTGGTTTGGGGCCGCGCCGTAAAAAGTGGTCACTTTTTTAAACACCGTTTCTCAAACAAAAACAAGTGTTGGGGCCTAAATAAGGCATTTTTTCACCATTGAGACAACAATAAAAGGGGGGATGAAAAAGGCGTTAAAAGGGGTGTATATCAGTATTGGGTTAACTTAGAAGAAAAAATTATATTTTTATAAGTGGCAGCATAGCAGAGTGATTAACATGTTGGACAAATTACTTCAGATATGCTGACCACGTGGATACAAACCTTGTTAGGATAGAAACGTTTTTTTATTGAGTACTGGATGGTTTCAAAAACGGATTCGAATGTTTTACTTTAAGTGTAAAACCTCGCACTCAATTGAACTAAACTATCTTGTGTTTAAACTGAATTCAATTCTATATATACAGATATGTTGATAGATGATCATCAAAATATAAAGCGAAGCAACTCTACAAATGATTTGTTAGAGGTTTTTTTAGTTATGATTCTTTATAGTATCATGTTATTACTTACTTATCGGAAAGGATGATAAAACGTTAATGTTTTGTTAAAAAAAACACTTACCAAATAAAGAATACCGTCCACGCCCCCTCGCACCGGCTTAAGCAGAATTCAACATTTAAACACAAAAATGGTGCAATTTTGAATTTAGAAAAATCCGCAGATGTGTTCATACGGCGATATCATGGAACCTTCAATGTGACACAGTAGTGTAATTCCATGAAAAGCGGCGTATGGTCCCCAATTGAAAAAATGTGTGTGCCCTAAACGAGAAAACAATGGGCGGAACTAAATCTAAGTCTTTTGTCCTTTATTCTTAATTACCTTGACTTGTATTTAGGCGATTACCTTTACGCCTCGGTTTATTTTGGCAGGAGATTCGCTTAGTCTAAAGAGTATATATCGTTTACAATGTGTTTAAAATAATATTGAAAACCGTTATTGTGCGTTCATTTACTTTTAACTTAGTAGTGTTAACAGTGCTATTAAGTTGTTGCATTAAAAATGACTAATCCATTTTGAATAAACAGTTTAGTTTAAAAAGAATCGAATGTAACGCTTGTAATAACTTTCAAATCAAATGTACGTCAAATTAAGTATTAAAAACATATTACCTTATTATTTAAATGAAATTATAACTTCTTTGTCAAATTATACATTGTTTTTATCAAAATATAAGGATCAACAAGACGAATTACGACATACCGTTACTAAATTTTGAAATAGACTAAAGGTTACTTAAATTGAACAACAATACAAGGCATAGCATCAGTAAATGTTGAAATAATGTTTGTCACTAATGTTGTGACAAGTTTTGGAAACTTACTGTCGCTAGGTACCAACATGAAATGCTTCCAACTAAAGAAAAACACCTTGTTCAGGAACAACAAAATGAGAAGGTAAAACATGAAAAAAATACTCACTATAAATGAAAACTGTCGCGTTTATATGTGCAGTAAAGATGAAAATATTACATATCATATCCTAATGACATATTGATGCATATTTGTCCATTTCAAAATATATAGATACAAAATATATGTGGCTAGGAGCTAATGACAATGATCACAATGGTGTTTATCAATGGGTGAACGGACATCGTTGCTGTCCAAACTTCTGGATTCCCGGGCAACCTGACAATGGCGGAGGAAATCAAAGATGCCTTGCACTGTGGCAAAATGAAAAGGATTTGATAGGTTTTGATGACGGGACCTGTGAAACCAAAGTTCGATTTGTCTGTCAGTCAAAGGGTTTGAACTATATTTATTCATATTTACTTGTTACCAGTCAAATAACAATTAATATTTTTGCACTTTTATTTTTTTATTTAATTTTGTTAAGAGCAATAAAAATTACTATTACTGCCTTATAACAATTTACAATTCGTTTTCGTGTCCTACTAATATATATGACTGTGTTGGTGAGAGTTTTTTGTTGCTGATGTTATTGATTGATTGATTGTTTGTTTGTTTGATTGATTTATTGATTGCTTAATTGATTGATTGATTTATGCATTCATTCATTGATTCATTCATTCATGCATGCATCCATTCATTCAACCATCAATTTATTTATTTACAACACGTTCAGGTCTGTTTTAAAATCATATAAACGTTTATACTTATTACTCACATTTGGTTATCACTTTTCCAGACAATTTGTTTTTTCTTTGTTCATCTTGTAGCGATATCTAACTAAAATCAAAATTTATCAAATGTTTTTTTGAACCTTTGGTAGGTTACCAAAGCATTCAGCATTGCATATCACATACATGTTTAAATGATGTGCCTACATGCAATGCATGTGAAAATGGGTTTGCACCAGTTGGTTATCCATCTCACTGTTTCGGTAAATATAAATTTAATCTCTTTATTTCAGATGATGAAAGTCATATTTAAGAGCGCAGAACTAAAGTGTATTCTGAATCTAATATATAGATTTTAAATTTCTTCCTCACAACTTATTGAATCTGATTTATTTAGTCTATCATGAATATTTGCTTGATTGTAAATTTTGTTTATAGGTTGATCTTTTTTGTATTCAAAATATATGTTATTTGTGCCAGATAATGATACAGTTATCATCACGATTAAGTAACAGTAAAAGTAGGTAACGATAATACTGTCATGGTCTAGTGGGACATCGTGTCTCAAGTGTTGTTGTCTTGTTTCAAAATGTGCTTTATATGAGATAATGCATTGTGCGCTATTACCGATAATGCATGTTACTGGCATATAACAGCCAAACAATATCGGAGTTAGACCACCGCATAATGACGTTATGAAATATTTTAAATGTTTTATCACAGATTTGACGTCATCAACCCATCTTAAATGTTTCGTTTCTTGTCTGGCGGTATTTACAACACGATTGTCTTGGAACGATGCAAAAGTAGGTCAATAAGACAGATAAAACACAAATGCAAATAGATTAATAGAACCTGTCCCGTTTTTAGGGTTGAAGTGAACTGTTTTTGTGTCAGTGGTTGGAAGTGGTTGGAACTAGAAATCACAGGGTTGCATTTTCTCACACGTTGTTCTAAACATTCATATTTTTGTGTATAGTTGGGTATGCCTTATGAAACTGAGCACTCAAAACTTACTTTAATTTCTAATGTTGTATGTTCTTCAGTAACTGTTTCTGCTTTTATTTTAGAACATGATATAATATCATGAACATCATACAAACTTACCCATCGATTAACTTATTTGGCATTTAAGATGTGATTTTAAAAATGAAGTAAACGATTACCCTAATTTGTATGTCTTTAATTTCCAAAGTTTAAGATGTGCACAATTTTATGTTTTTTCTAGAACGTATGTAAATCTAGGGGTGGACAAATATACGTCCCTGAAAATTCTGACGAAGATCGACTAAGAAATTATCTTGAAGCAGTTCTTGGTAAGATATGGTACTATATGATAATTATGTGCTAATTTATTGAACATTATAGGCCGACATGCTTATAAAATACAAAAGAATTAAATGAATATAATAATAACTTTTATCTAAAGATGGAAGTGTTCCCTATAAGTCACATGCATATGCGCTTTATATATGAGGATGTTCAAATATAAATGCATCTAGACCAGTATCTCGCTTTTAACCACGTTTTTGCGCGAACTTTGTACATGTTTCGCATAGATGGTTATGTAAGCTCTCATTTGATACAATACATGAGAAAATCAGTTCAATTTAGCTTTGACAATAGCTCGATTAACGCTATCTACTTGTGTTTACTAAAGGAAAAGTTATCCTTTCACTAACCAAATACAGTCCTATATTAAGAACTGCCGTGTTCTTGGTATACAGGTGAAAGACATATTTACTGAAATATGTCATGTTTGTGGAAACAATGCACTTTCTTTTTCATCTGTCACACGGTGGTGTAAGAAATTTAAAAGTGATGAGGATTCAGTAAAAGATGCACATCATGCACGCCGTCGGAAAGTGCAACTTCGCCAAAAAAAGTTTTAGGGGAAAGCAAAGGATTTGATTGCTATTGATGCTAGATTTACAACCAGGTATATAGCTAAATGCGTTGGTATCTCTGTATGCGTCGCCCATACAATTCTCAGACGTGATTTGAAAATAAGAAGGATAAGTGCCAGATATATACCCTATCTCCTTACAAAAGAGCAAAACCTGCTCGGGTAAGAATCTCCAAACAAGTGTTAAAACAGATCCCTAAATACAACAATCGATCTTTCACTGGCGATGAGAAGTGGGTTCACTTTTATTAGCCGAAGCGAAAGATACATAACAAAATATGGGCAATCTAAGGAAGTCAAAGACCCTGCATAGCAAAACGGACAATGAGCGTCAAAAAGGTCTTGCATGTAATTTTCTTAAGCAATTAAGGTCCTGCTATTCAAATTGCCGTACCAAAGGGCAAATCTAAATGCAAAGTTTTACAAAGGCATTGTCCTTCGTCACACAAAGCGACCATTGTACTAGAATATCTTAAACAGGAAAAGGTTGTTGTTCTTGTTCACCCCTCTTAATCGCCAGATCTTTTCCCTGTGACTTTTTCCTATCTCCGAGGCTCAAAACAACTTGCTTGCAGAAAATATCAAACGGGAAAAAATCTCGGTTCGGCTATTGTCCAGTGTTGGAACAGTTTATTTCGGAAAGATTATGAAAACGCATTTAAAAATTGAATTGCAAGACTAAAACATTGATATGACATTTTGGTGAGTATTTTGGAAGATTGAGATAATTATTTTGGCACTGTTTGCTAAGCACTTCTGAAAAACTGATCCAGCTGCATCCATATTTGAACACTCCTAGTATGCACCTGTTCAGTCGCAACGGGAATAATGTAAAGGTGGAAGTAACATATCTGTAAAATCGTGATAATGGGAATGTAAAGTGCGTGTTACTCTACAATTATAAAGATTCTTTTTTAAACTTGAAACAGTTTTTTATGTGAGGGAATGTTGACTATTATGGATTGGCGTCAGCCACCATGCGTTATAAATAATAAACCAACGGTAGTATTTGTTAACATACCCGTAACCTTGTTTATAATTCTGGACACGTCGATAACTTTAAGATTGTGTCATCTACTACATATTCTGACAGGTATAGGTTATGTAAAATGCATATAACATACATGATTTATCAATGCATATCTATTTAAAAAAAGACTGATTTATTTCAGGAACTGTTGACAACTTCTGGGTCGGTGGTCAGTTGCTTCAAACGTTGAAGCAGCAATGGTTGAGTGATTTACCTCCAACTCATGCGAGGTAAACTATAAAGTAACATTGTTACAACAATCTGAACACAAATATTTAATATTATTATACATCAACAAAATATTTTCTGAAAACATAATTTACGAACATCAAAATGTTCCATATCAACATATAAAATTCATAGCCATTCAGAGCAAAATGTAAATTTCAAAACATAAAAAAGTTTCATAATATCATTTGGTCAGTTCAATTAAACATAAAAAGTTCCCGAGTTTTACAATAGTTACCTCTTTTGCCAAAAATTTGAAATCATTTTTGGAGTCAATATCCTTTATCATATAACTGGCAAAAAATAAATACAGCGAAATCCAGGTGAAATGTGAAATTATTTTATATTTTAGAATGGAAATGTTATAAATGCACCAAAATCTAAAATAATTGTAACAGGTTTCATAAGATAATTAAACTGTGGTAGATTTTTACCGTATCTTAAGCATAAGATACATTAGGATTGACACCAAAAATGGCGACCTATGTTAAATTATCAATAACCTTTAAATTCAGAGTTAATTTGAAAATGAACATATTTATCTTTAATGTAAATTAAGAAATGGTGCTTTCAAAGACACATTTGCAGTCAAACCTTACAATATTTTATTTATGTTTAAAATGTTTTTAAGTTTTGATACAAGCGTCATTGCTAGTAAACAAGCGTAATACGTTTGTGAGAGGGTCCCCAAAACTAGAAACAAGCCTGGAAATAACATTTTATTGTAATAAATGTTTAATATTAATATATTATTCTAAATCATGGATATTGTGTTTAATTTTCCAAACGGAATAAAAAAACTAAAGAGATTTTTGTCAACAGAAATGATCACGATTTATATGGCAAAAGAAGATTTTGTTTCGTACAATAGTTTCTTTCTGTTTCATGCATTTGACATTTTATATATAAAAAAAAAACAATTACAGAATTATGATATTTATGATAAAATGTGTTTGAATTACCTTTCACAATCAAACTTAAAGTAATTCTGATCCATTACACTTGTTGACATTATTCGGTAAATAATTGTTCTTTTTTCTTTGTTGTTTGTTGTTGTTGTTTGTGTTTTATTTTCGTAGCCTTTATCAAATGTTTTAGGTGGAGCAGTTAACCAACAAGTTTAAATGAAGACAAATGTATTGCAATGGAAAAGAATGAGAACTACCGTTTAGGAACATTCTCTTGTGACGGGTTGTTTCCCTTTATCTGTCAAGAAAAGTAATACTTATCTTTATTAGAAAATAAAGAAGACATTTTATAGCTTTTCACTGAAATGCAGTTAGGAATCACAAAAAAAATATGTTAATTTATTTACAAGTATTTCAAGTTTGATCATTATATGCCTTTGTGCCTTAGTGGGGCTGCCTTGAATGCCAAAATGTCCACTTTGAACTTAAACTCTTTGAATGTTTATTTATGTTATATCTTGTTGTTAATTTTGTAAAAAGATATTTTACTAGTTGGATTTTGTTTCAATTACAGGTCGTTGTATGTTCCCAGCCCGATCGGTTGATAAAAATCCGGAATTTGCAATATTTATATATAAACTAAATGAGGTAAATAAATTATTTAAAGATGAAATTGACATTGACCTATTTAGGCATGTACACTGTACAAAAGTGGATATTATAAGTGCTAAAACAATTTTCCCCAACCTGGCGGTCAAATACACTAAAATAAAATAAAGCAAAACCCCAGTAGAGACGCCCGCCGTAGAGCAATTACCTTACTTACTACTACAATTTCAATAATTCTCAAAGTATGACTTCACCACAAATTGAAACTCTCTGGAGCAACGTCTCCCAGCAGCAAATAAATGATTTCCTACCCCCCCCAAGGCAGGTTGTGATGCTCTGCCGAGGTTCTTTTGCATAAAAAATCATTTTAAATTGTATGTAAACAGTAACGGAGGAAATGAAACGATATGTATTACCCATTTTAAACACTTCCTTCCAATACTGTTGTACACACGGACATTCCCAGAATAAGTGAAAAAAAATCTTCAATGGCAGAGGAACAAAAAGAACAAAATGTTGATTCTAAAATTTTACTTTATGTAAAAAAAGAATTTGTTGCCACATATCTATGGATAAACTTAAGTTGATAATTTGAAGTTCAGTGTCATTGCAACATAAAAATTATGAATTACTTATTGCTTTCAAATTCAAACTGATGCTAAATTTTTCCTCCCATTTTTGTTCAGATTTACTTTTTTCATTTTTTTCTGTTTTTTTTTGTTCTTGTTTATTTGAATTCGTGTGAGACGTTTGTTTACGTTTTTAGAGTTTGTGTTACCAACCCTAGTAAAAATAACTTTTGTGTCGTTTTCCAAAATTATTATTATCAATTATTGGTAAATGACCATTATAATAGTAAATCTACGATGAAGGTCGGATATTGGCATGTTCCTATATCCAGGCCACAGCAGATACCGGGTCAGAATCTAATTCCGGCATTTCTTTTATCCATATCTCCAACGTGATGCCATTTGGCATCGGATTCATATATCCTAATTGATGCTTGTTCTTGTTTGCATGCCTATTATATTAGTGTCACACAAATTTAATACATTACTTTAAATTATCTCTTTCCTAAGGTAAAGAATTGTAAATTATCCGTGTCTAGTTTGTTTTGTCAGAGTTAATGCTGATTTAAGGTGAGTTTATATTAATGTACATATGCAGATGTGTACATAAGGCAACGAATGAAATGACTTGGTGGCTTTCTATAAATGGCGACAACTTTCAAAAGTAAAACAAAAAAATATCCAAAGGGTGATTATACAGAAAATGAGGGCAAATTTATTTCATCTCATCACGAGTATTCCACCATATTATTACCACACAAAGGGAAAATTTTGACGCTTTGATAAGATATATGTATTTAGAAATAGACAAAAAAACGTCGATTATTATAAATCGTTTTGTTTCTTCTTTTTAAACAATTTTAAGTCATTATAATGTTGTAGCGTTCATAACAATGAACATAAATTTGGGGGAATGGTTGAAACGTTACTAAACTTAAAATATTTTTATGACAATAATCAGTGTGATATAATAAAACCAATTAAAAAATGGTACCAAATAGGTAAAATTGACATACAATTTATTTAATGATCATGGAATATAAAATTTATACATCAATAAATATTATACACCATTAAAAGCTGTGATTATGATATTTATTTTTTTTCTAATGACATAGTCAAGCGGGTATTTAAAATACAAAATTTCAAGTTATTAATATTATTCTGGAAGTCAGTGTCTGAAACGGAGGAGCTTCATCCAAACTGTGTGCTGAAGGAAAGAAAGGTATTTTATTATTTCATTTATTTTCATCCGACTGTGTATGAAGCTATAGCTATTATATTATAAAAATACTATCTAATCCGTTCATGCTCAAGGATCCCCGGTAGAGTTTTTACCAATGTGGCGGATCAATATTCCGACGCGTTGTCCATTCCTCCAAGGTGTTTTACATTTGTTATTTTACATATTATTAAAACGTAATAAGTGTTCATTTGATTTTTCCAACGCTTTATTAACTTGACCATAGTTGTTATACAGTTATCTATATACATGTATAATTAAACGTGATAAATGTTCGTGTGCAGTTTTAAAATAACAAAGCATATTATTCCAAAGGAATGCTTTAATCTTTATGACTCAAAGGTTTTCTTTTTTAATATTATTTTTTATACCTCTTTAGTTTCTTAAAAGGACACATTGGCCAAATATTAAACAATTTATTTTCTTTTGTAGTATTTAGTAGAGTTAAAGTGATTTAGTCTTTTGTATGAGAGTCAGATTACTTCTTTAGATTCTATGTTTGACAAAGTAGTTAGCATATGATTTAAGATTTCGTTTTATTTAGTCACACGTTCAGTTTACATTCTATAAACTAAGGATCGTACGAAGGAAAATACAAAAATAAGGCTTCCAAATAAACATCTATGTAATTTTCCTCTAAAATGAATAGAATACTAATAATAAACAAATATATAAATAACGCTATTTTTCAAATAGACATGAGGTTCATGACCAGGTTCAATATGACTAGGTCTGTATCTCTTGGTGTTTTCCATTAAATCTTTTTGGGATTTCTCTACCTTTATTTTTCATTCCTTTATTAATCTGTTGATAAAACACTGCACTCACTAAGTACCGTATTTGGAAATCATTATCAAACTAGATTACAATTCGGACAATTTTAAAAATTAAAACATGGCGATAATACCAACTTAAAAGTAATAAACCAATTGATAAATATTGCTATTTGTTCAAATTTGACAGAGTTATGAGGCCAATGACCTGGTTCACTAGAAATATGTCTGTATTTCTGTTGTTTTTTTTCAAGATGATCGTTTTGCTATTTCTCTACGATTTCCATATTCATTAAATTCCAACTTTTTCTTTTACTGATCATTGTGATACTAGTAATTGCGGTAGTCGTCACACTTCTAACTACATAGGTGAACATCCCTGCTATTAATGATTCTTGAAATCATGCCGACAAGAAAATGAGCAAAAATGTTTTAATATGCTTTTTAGTAATAATATGAAAAATGTCACTGCAACTATTTTATGTCTACTATAGATATGCTTCAACGATTTCTTATTATTCTTGCCTGCTTGAGTGAGGGACAATGCCTATCTCATTTTGTTCCTCCGATTTATGAGCGCCTACCAGATTTCATTCATGAATTTTGTCCAGGTGTAAACATCTGCTTGAATAATACATCTATCAAAGCGGCTGCAAAAGATGCATGTTGTGAAGGTAAGTTGATAATGTTAATTTGTTGATAAGCTTGGTAGGGTATTGAAAGTTTTCATATCTAAATATTGATGTACCATAGATGTTGAATGACTAACATGTATACTGAAATGACATATGCGTTTGATGAGTTTTTTAACCTAAGTACTATCTACACACGACAGATATTCCTAAATCTTTATCCTTAGCAAAAATTGAACAAAATTAAAATTTTATAAATGATCTAAGTAACAAATAGTTTGCCTTTCATGTGTTTAATTTTGATATTATATAAATTTAAAGGAGCTGTGACTGTGGCGGAAGAACAACATTATACTAAATCAATTTAAACACACGCACACGCAAACACACGCACACACACAAACGCATGCACGCACACACACACATTAAAAATAATACGTTCCTTACTTATGTTATGTTTCTGATATTTAACAGGATGTTCTTGTGATTCTGATTGCGCAATGAATGGTGGCTGCTGTTTTACTGAAACATTGCACTCAAATCTCATTGATAAAAGAAGTGACTTTCAAATAGAGCGTTCCTGTCTGTACCCTTTGCTTCCACAACCAAAAGAGAATGAAAAACATCTTTATCAGTCCTTTTTAATGATATCGTCTGTTGGTAAAGAACATCTAGGTAGTTCAAGTGAAATATTAAATACGTCTTGTGGGGATACACATGTAGCTCCCTGGAGTAGCTTGTATCCCGTCTATTCGGCAAACTCTAAACAAATATATAAAAATTTGCAATGTGCAAAAGCAAATAAAATCACTGACGGGACACGTTGGAATGCTATCATAAACTGCTTTGATGAGGAAGTTAACAATGCAGTAATTGGTCTTGAAACGAATACGATTCCTGAAAAGTGCGAAATTAGTTTTTATTACTCTGGCAATATTGATGATTTAAAATTATCAAAATGCTATTCATCTCTCACTGATACATGCCCCGAGTCTCTAGAATTTCAGATGCCCGAAGGAACAAATCTTTCTAAGAGTGAAATTGTATCATTATGCACAAGTGGACTTATGTCGCCATTTCAACATAGGAAAATGTATGCCAATGTTTTTTGTCATATCTGTAATGCTGAATACTTCAGTAAATTTTTATCTTGTCGTAAGATATCTGATGGTAGCTTCAAAGGTGTTAAATCAAAAGGATTCACTGCTTTGATAGACAGTGATTTTATAGATACACTGAATGATAACAACAACGTCAAAGAAGAAAGCTTACCAAAGGCATGCTCTCTTGATGATAACGTAAGTCTATTTTATTCAAATTATTGTGTAAAGTAAACATTGTAATTTGACTCTTTCTATTGCTTCAAATAAACAGTCAAGAAAAGAAGCTATAATCAACATTAAAGCCGGTCATGTTTGTGATAACATTATATCTTTTAAATCTTACGTATTGCAACATTTCATGTCTTAGGATGTATAGATTCATCATGTATTGTCAAATTTTAAAACTGAAATTTCAACTCGCAGTGTAAATAGCCTGACGTTAGTTTTTCAATTTTACACTTTACATATCTGGTACGAAATGCTTTATGACAAATATCTAACCTATTAACATTGTTATTTCACACAATAGGACTTAATTAAATGTGTTTTATTTTGTAAGCATATTTAAAGTGATGAAATGATCCCGAGGCAGTGTCAATTAAGACCAAATGAGCATGGTTTATATAGCTTTGTACAAGACCAAAGGGGATGATACATGTAAAAAAATAAACTTTGCCACAGTAGTTTTAGAGACGATTTTGAGAGAATTTTAAAACAAAAGTTTTTGTAAACTAACTGAACTCC